TATACACCTAATATATTCCTTTTATTTTTTACATTTTTTTCTTATTTCTTGATTGGATTTGTTTTGTTCTCTAGAAAACACACACTTTTGGGTTTATTTATAACTTCTATTAATTTTCTCAGGTGTCAAGACTGAAGAAACAAATGCAGAGAAAAACGCCCTATGTTTAATTTCCCTCTTATCAGAAGTCACCTAAAGCATACGGAACATGTTTTTTTCTCATAACCTCAGAAAAGCACGCTATAAGATATAAATCTATGGAGATACTCACTGCTTTCCAAAAGGTCCCAGTATCTTGCAAATAGCAGTCAGTAGAGAAAGGAAAAGACATGTTCGTATCTCTAACAGGCTTAACTATTCCAAAACATCAAAGTAACTTCTCTATTTCTAAAACCATGGCACAAAATTAGCTCTTTGGCAGAAAGCTGCATATTGAGCTCAGGTTTCACAGAGAGCTGGCAAGTTTTGTTGGATCAACTTGGTGTACTGAAATAGCTGATAAACAAGAGCTATCTCCTGAACTTTTTAAAAAGTGATGAAGAAAATCACTAGTATATAGTCCAGTGAAAAAAAAACCTAAAAGCAAACCTGTTGCCGCCAAGTCGATTCTGACTCATAGTGACTCTATAGGACAGAGTAGAACTCCCATACGGTTTCTAAGGAGCACCTGGTAGATTTGAACTGCTGACCTTTTGGTTAGCAGCTGTAGCTCTTAATCGCTACACCATCAGGCTTTCCATAGTTCAGTGAATGGAATATTATTTTCTGCTTACTAGACAACCAACCATGCTTTTTCGGAGAAGTAAAGAAGTTGAGTATAAAAATGCTGATATCTATAGTAAGGCCAGAGTCTCTGGGTAGCATGATCAGTTAAGAGCTCCACTACTAACTGAAAGGTTGGCAGTTTGAACCCACCCAGAGGTACCTCAAAAGAAAGGCCTGGTAATCTGCTTCTGAAAGATCACAGCCTTGAAAAACCCTATGGATGCAGTTCTACTCTGCACACATGGTGCTGCTGTGAGTTGGATTTGACTCGAGGCAATGGGTTGTGGTTTTGGTTTATTATAAAGGCCCAGCTGTAGGAGGAAAGAGAAGACTCGGCATGGTTTTCCAGACACGGACCCAGGCTCCGATTCTGGCTCGTCTGCTTACTGTGATCATGGACAGTTTCTTTGGCCCTTCTGAGCCTTGTTCCTCAACTCTAGTGTGAGGATAATACTATCCATTTCAGATGGTTGTTGTGAAATTTAAATAAGTTAAAATATGTCAACCAGCTGGCACATAGTGTTCAACTGATGCAATCTCTCTTTTCTCCCTATCTCTTCTGAACTAGGAGTAAGAGAAAGACAATGCTCAAGCCACCAGGGCCCTATCCATGACCCCTTCTTCTCACTCATCACCCAAGTACAATCTCTATCCCATTGATATTTTTCCTCTAGATGTCTTGAATCTTTCTCCCTCTCTCTAAGTCTTTCACTATGATGTCAGTTCAGGTTTCCAACATTGAAGCTGGCCATGTCAGCCCTGCTCTGAGCCCACCATGACAGTAAGAAACGGACTGGGAGTATGCAGCCAGGGCAGAAGAAGAAATCCCACACATGGTATAGGGGTCCCATGAGTGCTGAAGTGAGCCCTTCAGTCTCGGCTCCTCACTCCTGAAAGTGTCTCCCTCCACCTCCACTGCACATGGTGAGTGCACCCTTGAGGAACTAGGGAACTACCTCAGAAATGCACCCACCAACCAACTTGTGTTCTTACACTGTACCTACTTTGCATGGTTTCTTTGCTGGTTCTTCAGAAAACTCAAGCAAAGGCAACTTAATCTGAGTCTGGATAATCATTCTCTCTTGTCTTCTAACTCAGACCAGAATGGTGTGGTTTGGCCAAGATCAATCACATTTTTTTTCTTACACTATTGCAAAAAGGCTTCTAATTTGTCTCCTTACCTTACCTATTACACCACCCTGACCTGTCTCCATACTAAATCAGGACGACGTTTTTAAAACAAAGATTTGATCATATTACCCTTCTACATAAACCATTCGTTGGCTTCTATTTTACCTGGATGTGTTCCAAGCTTTTTAGCATCTTCTGAGTCCTTCACGCTTTGCTTTAGGTTCATTTTTGCCACTACTTCTCTGTACTTTGAACTTTATACTCCAGTCATACAAACCATCTGTATGGTGCTTTCTCTTGTTTCCAGGCAGTTGAACATACCAGTTTCTTTGGCTTCTCTTTCTTTGACATTTCTGCTCAAGAGAAAGCTCAGAATCACCTCTTCTGGGAAGCCTTCTCAGATGCCACTGGGCTGTGTTAGTGGCCCTTCCTCTCTGCTCTGCCCTTCTGAGCTCATCTGCGTGCGCGTCCTTCTCATGGCATCATCGTGCTACAGTGGAGGTACTTGGTTTTGCTCTGGGCTCTACACCAGTCTGGGAGCTCTAGTTGTATCAATTACACACTAATATGACTTGCAAGTTGTAAGATATTTCATGTATGCTTGACATCTTGAGACCTTACTTACAATAGCCACTGTTTCAATTCATTAATTTTGTACAGGGCTTAGCCGACACTCAATATTGTTGACTGTGTGAGGAAATGAATCAATAAGTGAATAAATGAACAAAGGAACTGGTTTGGTTTTCATCTTATGAACCCTATGCATCATATAATTTATTTTATTTCCCACTTAACCTTCACTGAGAAGATGCTCAGGCGAAGGACTTGGGAATTTATGGCAGGTATTCTAGATATTAGATCTACCCCTGGCTTTTCATCTCATGTCTTTCCTTTCTTGCATCTTGCTCTCACTCCTACTGGCTAGTTCTTCACGGATACTCTAATACTATAGTATCGGAACAACTTTGGAACTAAATGGGAGTGTTAAAATATTTTAAAATTAAATAAATTTGTTTTGCCATTGTGAAAAATCCAAGTGAGCATGTGCCATCAATACTTTATTTTGCTAAATGTCTAAGGACTTTCTGCTTCCAAAATCCATGCTCTTATACATGCTTTATGAATCTGTAAACACTATGTAAATATTACAACTGTTTCCAACTGGAAAAATGCTTCTCTTTCTTTATGACTCAGCTCAAAAGTCACCTCTGTGAAACTTTTCTGACATCCTGTTGCCCAACTCCTTCCGTAACTTCCCACCTGTTGTGTTGGGCCACCCCATTGCTGTATTTGATTTCCCAATTAGATCAAGTAACTGACTTCATCTCTTTCATTTTCCCAGTAGTTTATCTTAGCTGTGATCAGCTAGGAAGTCTCAGTACAGGATTTTAAAATGAATGAATGAGTGAAATGATTAACTGTATAAAGGGAAGGCTGGTGATGAGAGGGAATGGAGGAAGGGGGTTATAGGCATGGATGCTTCACAGGAACTGGAGCTTTCTGAAATGGGTGATTTGGTTCAGTGCTCTAGCTGTAACAACTACACACTATTTTGATTTGCAAGTTGGAAGACATTTCATATATACTTGGATTCTTGAGACCTAACTTATAACAGCATTATTTCAGTTCACTTGTTAATTTTATTTCCTCTTATTAAGGACTGTTACAGTTGTTGCGTGCCGTCAAGTAGATTCTGACGCATAGTGACTAAAGATTAGGACACCATTATTTGAAGCAGGTGCCACTTCACAAAAGAAGGTGTTCATTGATTCAATGAATAGTTACTGGTTGTTGTATCCCTAATACTTAGCACAGTGCCAGGCACATAGGAGGTCCTCAGTAAATATTTATAGAGTGAATGAAAAGAATAAACTCTTTTAAAAATAGGAGCTGATTTTCCACTTTGTATGTCAAGTGGGTCTGTACAAAAGATAATAAGCCATCAGAGCTGGAAAAGTCTCACTATTCTAACCAGCGCCCTCCTCACTTGCATGTGATTGGCCCAGGTCACTGGCCTCCTTTTAGTGTTTCTTCAGACTCCATTTGCCCCTCCTCAGTCTGCTTGTAGGCTATTTGACTACTTCCATTTATGAATGACCCATAAAAATAATCTAATTAGTATTACAAACATCTATTGAAATACCACATCCCAAGATTTCCCTAGGTGCCTCTCTCCCCTCTTCTGTTGCCATGGAGTGGATTCTGACTCATGGCGACCCTATAGGACAGAGTAGAACTGCCCCATAGGGTTTCCACCACTGTAATCTTTACAGAAGCAGACTGCCACATCTTTCTCCCTTGGAGCTGCCTTTCCATTAGCAGCCAAGTGCTTAACTACTGCACCACCAGGGCTCCTTCTGCTAGGTGCCAGGGACATTAAAGAGAATGAGACACTTCCCCTGTTCTAGTCTTTATGGTCCCCTGATGTAAATAAATAATTGCAAGGTAATGCCAAAACCCGGGAATAGTGAAGATTTTTAAAACGTGCTCCAGAAAAAAAAAACACTTGCTGGAAAAAAAGATAAGAAGTATTACTACTATAAGATATGAGAGTTTCATACATGGATCTCAGAATACGGTTTCCATCTACAGTGTCCATCGACTGAAGATGCAAACAGTTTGCTGATACAAAGAAGTTCGCAGTCGTAGTTTGTTATTACCCCTGTTTTATATAAGAGAAAGTGAGGCTTTCAGAGTTTAAGTGAGGGCCTTGCCAAGGACCTTTACTTTTGTGACCGATGTAGAGTGCTGCCAGGTGATGTGAGACCAGGAAGCCCTGAGATTGGGAAAGGATCACCTGAGAAGACTGCAGGGGAAAAGGAGCCTCCAACAGGGACCTCCACGTGGCCAACACTGCAGCCCAACGTGGCAGGGCCCAGCACTTAGGAAGTCCAGCCTCAGGAGGTGGGTGTGGCCTGGAACCCCTTTCCTGCCCAGGGACCTGCGGTTGAAGGAGAGCTGGGAGAGGAGAGTTGGGGTGAAGGGGGTAAGGGTGGGGAGAACAGGAGGAGAATAACGGGGGAGGGGAGCTGGGGAGAGGAGAACTGGAGCGAGAGGAACAAGAAGAGAAGAGTTGTGGCGGGGGAGGGCGAAGGGGGAAGGGGAAGCCCGGAAGAATAGCTGGGGGAAGGACAGATGAGGAGAGCTGAGGTGAGACGGGAGCTAGGGGAGGGGCTGTGGCGGAGAGGACCTGGGATGAGATGAAGGGTAGGGATGGGGTGGAGGCAGGAAAGAACTGGAGGAGAAGAAGGGGGGCGGGGAGAGGGAAGCTGGGGTGAAGGGAGGAGAACTGGAGGAGAACAGGGGAGGGCCTGGGGCAGGAGAGCTGGGCGACGGTTGCCTTCCTTTAAGGCATGTTTAAAAGACACTCAAACATGACCTGAGCAGCAAAAACAAAGGCGAGAAGGGTGGGCAGGGGCAGCGCGTCGTGGGGCAGACCTGGAGCTCCAGTGGACACTGACGGCGGAGGGCGGAGGGCGGAGGGGCTTTGTTTGAAAGGCTAAAGTCAAGGAGGAAAGGGAGGCAGTATTTTCTAAGTGAGTATTTGCTTTAGGAATTGGCCACCTGCCTGTCCAAGTGCAGGCACAGGCTGTTATCTTAACTGCCCTTTAAACGTCTCGGCCGCTTTTGTTGTTTGAGGATTATTGAACAACTCAGTCACACAGGTGTCTGCTGTTCTGAGAAAACTCTGTGCCGAAAAGTACACGAACGGCTGCAACTCCTTGTTTATCATTAAATCTCCAGTCTTTCAGGAGGTCAGTTTTCGAGACAGATGACACTTAGGAGCGGGGATTTCCGCGTAACCTGGGTCCCTCCCAACTCAAATTCAAGTTCAGGCCAACCTCCTTTCCTTTCTCCTTCCTCCCTCCATTCTTCCTTACTCTCTCCTTTCTCTTTGTTGCCCCTCTCTTCGAATTAGTATAACGGTAGTGTTCACTTAGTCCATTCCGTTTTGTCTTCTTTCTGACATTTCTCTAGTTTCACAATAGTTTTCTCTTTGGGGGTTGGTTTGAGAAGCACGTGACTTGAAAATATTTACTACTTTAGGAAACACATCTTCCTTATTTTGATTTCAGTTTTACTAAACGCCAACTCGCAGAATGGAGACTCGACGGCTGGGGTCCGACCAGCTGTCTGGGGTAGTCGGGAGTCTGGGGGCCAGGTATTGCCCACACCTGGAGACTCCGCCGCTGCCTCGCAGGTGTCCTTCCCTGGAGCCGCGGCTGTGGATCAGGGTTTGCCCTGCGAGGGGCTCCCCCTTGTGGCTCACAGTGGATATTAACGCCTGTCTTGAATGTTTACTTCCCGTTGTCTTTTTCAGATGAAGTAGCCCCTGGTCAAGCCAGCTCAGGAGCAGAGGAGACTGGGTTTGTTTGTTTTTGTTTTTTGTTTTGTTTTGTTTTGTTTTGTGGTGGTGGTTGTTGTTTTTACAATATTTTTTTTGTCTCTTTCAGAGTAGAAAATGTCTCCAGCTGCTCTCAGATAACATGGACTCTGGCGGACGAATTCAGTGATGCCCAATTTCAAGAAACCAAACAAGTTGCTGCAGAATTATTGCAGGATTCCCCAAGAACATGCAAATGAGGAGAAAGTAGGGGAAAATGAACTAGATGAGCTGAATACCCACGAAGTGCCAGGCATATTACATACATTTTCTCATATACTCTTACAGTATCTCCAGCTTAAGTAAGAATTATCACCTCCATTTTACAGAGGAGGAAACTGAGCTTTTTTCAGAATTGCAAGGAGCCCTGGTGGCGCAGTGGTTAAGTGTTCGGCTGCTGCCCAAAAGATGTGCAGTTCGAATCCACCAGCCACTCCTTGGAAACCCTAGGGAGCAGTTCTACTCTGTCCTACAGGGTCACTATGAGTCGGAAGAGACTTAACGGCAATGGTGGGTTTTGTTTTTTTTTTTAAGATCTCAAAGTGATGGAGCCAGGTTCAAACTCTGATTTGGATGACTCCGAAGTCCATACACTTTGCACTGATGAGAAACCCTATTAGAGGGAGGAGTTTCCTGCCAATTCCCTCTTCTCCTGAGAGATGTCACATTCCGGAGAAAGTTTCTTGAGTTTGAAATTCAATAACCTCACATCTGTATGGCATATCTGAGTTATGTAAGCACAGCACTTCTGATCTCAAGCGTCTGTAGAGTATGCTGTATTTTCACATTCAATCTTCAGTAGTACAGTCCTATGAGATTATTATTTTTATTTATTAAATAAAGTGAGGCCAAGGAAGGTGAAGTGACATGCTTAAAATTACGACAACTAGCGAATGGAATTCTTTCCCAGGTCTAATGATGAGAGATCCATTTTGATTCTCACATCAAGTTATTTTACTTTTACCTCTAACCCATTGTGGTTGTCGATTCCCACCCACAGTGACCCTACAGGACAGAGTAAATTGCCCCATAGTGTTTTCAAGGCTGTAATTTTTACGGAAGCAGGCTACCGCATCTTCCTCCCACTGAGTAGCTGGTGGTTTGAATTGCCAGCCTTTTAGTTAGCAGCCAAGGGCTTAACCACTGTGTAACCAGGGCTCCCATCTACCTCTACAGAACAGTTATTAAATGTGAAGTGAGGGGTCAGGTGTTCTCTAAGACACCTTCCAGCCCCATGGTTCTGCGGGTTCTGGCTCTTAACAGCTTTCCTATCTGTTGCCTTCCTTTACCTTCCCAGTGCTGTGGTATGGTGGTGCCAGAAGCTTAGAGAGGTGTGACGACTTGCCCTTGATCACACAGATGTTCTCTGCCAGACCCAAGCCTGGGATGCGGGTTCCCAAGCTTGTAGTCTTTGTGCTGTAGGGTAGGTATTTGATGTTTGGTCTCACCATGCCCTTTTTTTTGATGAGAGCTCCTAATTTTCCTTTGGGACAAGGTCTCCCTCTCTGGTTTGGGCGGGGCTGACTCATTATCCTTTGGGGTGGTCAGATGATTCAGGCCTGGCCAATCAATGTGATTGATTAAAAAAACAGGCCCGTGATCCAAATCAGGCAAGGGCAGGCAGCCACAAGCCTTGATAGCCCTTTGGGAGGCATGTGTGCTTTTTCGGCTTTGTTTGCGAAAGTGGTAGAAAGTCATCATGGAGCTGCTGGTCATCATCTCTGCCACCAAGTGAGAAAGCCAGCGGAGGGAAGCAGAGCTGAGAACGGGACCCCTTTATAACAATGTGAGTCAATATTTTTTTGTTTGTCTTAAACCTGTTTGAATTTTTTTTTTTTTGGCACTTGACTGAAAGTGCTAACCAATATATGTCTCTAGGCTCTGCCATAAATGGCTTCTCCAAAGGATGAGACATAACAATACAGCTAACAGTGTTTACAAAGAGCTTTCATGTGATCTTATTTGATCCTCAGTCACCTTGGCAGGTATGCAAAGTGGGTATTTTTATCTACATTTTAAGTATCAGGAAACTGAGGCTGAGAGAGTCCTCCATTTAGGAAGTGGCAGAGCTGGGGAGTGCATTCCTGAGGGGCCCGCAGGGCCTGGCAGACATCCTGATGTCCCAAGTGTAGGGAAGTGTAGGGAAGAGGAACATTGCTCCAAATACAGGTATAGAAACAAGGTCTTAGAGAATGAGTGATGATCGAGGTTACAACTCTAGGGATGAAATCCTAGTGCCCACCCTAAGGAAAAATGAATAATTACCAACTGGAGAATCTTTTTTAAAAAAGTTTTTATTCTGAAGAGTGTGAAAAACGAGACCTCCTACTCTTTCCTCCCCCCAAAGTAGTTTTGGAGTATAGTGGTAGATAATTTACACTGTCTTTGGGGCTATCCAAACTCTGTAAACTGCAAGGATAACAACTAAGAAGCCCAATTTACCACTGCATTTTTTTTAAAAAGACATGATGAAAGTTGAATCAAAGGAATCTCAGCATAGTGTGTCCTGTACTTGGCATATATCTAAACACAACTTTAAGGCCAGGGAGAGAGGTCCATTACTTGGCTGGAGTGCTGAAAATTTTCTTTGTACTTGCACTCTGCTGTAGGTCATCTTTTTTTTATTTAAAAACTGTTTCAGCTATGTTTTCATACTTCAGCAGGGTGATGACAAATATAATTTTATCCACTAATGGTGTCTATTAACTTCAAAGAAAGAATGGTTACAAAATTTTCCATCTTGCCTTTAATGCAATCAAATTCAAATAGTTAGCCCACCTTAAAAGATAAATGTACATTTTTAAATTCTTATTCATATGCCCATGGTGGATAGTGATGGAAAATGAGAAGGCAGTGCTGGCTGTGGGATTTTCTCTTAAGAGCATGGTTCACAACCAGAATGCCAGCCTCCTTCCCTTGTTGTAGCGTGCCATCGAGTTCATTCCGACTCATGGTGATTCCATGTGACACAGTAGAATTGCCCCATGGGGTTTTCTTGACTGTTATCTTTACAGGAGCTGAGAGCCAGGTCTTTCTTCCACAGAGTGGCTCGGTGGGTTTGAACCACCAGCCTTTCGGTTAGCAGCCTAGAGCTTAACCACTGTGTCACTAGGGCTTCTTTGGTTCACCAAAAATTGTGAAGGAGGGCTGTAATCTATTTTATAACTATTTGTGGCAGGGCAGGCTTAGGGAATTTCTCATTCATTAGAGACCTCACCTGTTACAATTCACAACAGTTTGTAATGATTCCATGCCTATTTTAGAACTAGAAATCCTGTTCATTATTTTGGATTGTTGCACATGAAGATTATAAAGGAAAAAGTTTTTTGTATTAGAAACTATGTGCACAAATATTAGCCTCTATAAACCATTTATGATGATAGTAGAGAAGGCACATGTAAAAATGTTAAATACAAGTTGAAGGCCCAGCTGGTGTTCAGAGGATAATGATCTGTAGTATTAAGGAAGGAGGTCAAGAGTTCTTGACCTAAGGACTAAGGTCAAGACTAAGGAAAGAAGTCAAGAGTTCAGAGCGAAGGGGCAAGGTGGAGAAGATACCCAAACTCAGTGGGAGATCCAAAAGCTGGCAACAATAACACTAGACTCCCTAAGATCACCGTCCCATGACACAGTGACATCAAATTGAGTGAGTAAAAGGCTTCCAGATGGAGTCCTTCACAGCCTCCTCTTTTCTAAGTTCTGTGGAGGACAGTCTTGCTGCTGAGTATGGGTCAAAAGACCCAGAACAACTTGGACCCAACTTGCCACCAATGAGGGACTGCCTTCCTTTCCCAGTGCGAGGTGAGGCAGCAAGCCTAGTTAGAGCAGATAGCTGGTCTTGCGGCTGTCCTTCCCCCTTTCCCTCTCGGTCTGTCTTCTTTGGGTTTATGAGTCTGGGAAAAGAACCAGAAGGAAGCCTCGTCTCTATTTTATGTCTGTAATCCTCCTTTCTTCCCTGTCACATACCCAAAAGGGTAAGTTCCTTGTCTCCTCATAACCTTAGGACAGTTCCTTCACATAATTGATAATAATGAATTTTGTAAACAATGAATTGAATCTGCAAACAATCGTCCTGCATTCGTGGTTCTGTTTACTTTATCTCAATGTCGCTGGCAATGCAGGGTAGTTTTGTGGGTGCTTTCTACTTCAGAGTCCAACTTTCTGTGTTTGCTTTTGAGGACCCAGTCCAAACCTGTTGCCCTCAAGTTGTTTCTGACTCATAGCGACCCTATAGGACAGAGTAGAACTGCCCCATAGAGTTTCCAGGGAGTAGCTGGTGGATTCGAACTGCCGACCTTTTGGTTAGCAGCCATAGCTCACCATAGTTCTTAACCACTGCTCCACCAGGACTCCTTTTGAGGATCAGAAAGAGATTATTTCTTGCCTACTGTAGCTGAAGGCCTGAGTAGTGATTAACTGTTTATTTGGCCATCAGGAAATACTCCTCTCGGGTTGTTGTTGTTGTTAGGTGCCGATGAGTTGGTTGAGACTCATAGCTACCCCATGTACAACAGAACAAAACGCTGCCCAATGCTGGGCCGTCCTCACAATTGTTGCTATGTTTGAGCCCATCATTGCAGCCACTGAGGGTCGTCTTCCTTTTCGCTGACCCTCTACTTTACTTAACATGATGTCCTTCTCCAGGGACTGGTCCCTGCTGATAACATGTCCAAAGTATGGGAGATGAAGTCTCGCCATCCTCGCTTCTAAGGTGCATTCTGTCTGTACTTCTTCCAAGACAGATTTGTTCATTCTTCTGGCTGTCCGTGGTATATTCAATATTTTTTGCCGTAATTAAAAGGTATCAATTCTTTTTTGGTCTTCTTATTCATTGTCCAGCTTTTGCAAGCACATGAGACAATTGAAAATATCATGGCTTGGGTCAGGTGCATCTTAGCTCTTATAGTGACATCTTTGCTTTTTAAAACTTTAAAGAGGTCTTTTGCAGCAGATTTTCCCAATGCAGTACATCGTTTGATTTCTTGACTTCTCTTGGGTGGGAGTGGCCATTTTCTTGAGAGATCACTAAGGGCTGAGTCAGTATATTCTTTTAGGATACATATGTATTGAAAAAGTATAAAGTTAGTCCAGGACTGACACCAAACTCACATTACTTATCACTCTAGGGAGGGAGCAGGGAGAATTTTATCAAGGAGGGGCTTTCTACTAAAATTTTAATTTTTATTTCTTTAAAAACAGATCTGAAGCAAATACGACAAAAATGTTAAAATTGGACAAAACTAGGTTATAGATGTTTGTTATATTACTTTCTATACCATTATGCATAATTGAAATATTTCATAATAAAAAAGATGTTTACTTAGTGTTTTAACCAGGGCTTCAAACCCTGCTGAGGATTTGCATTTCCACCCCAGATATACTGAATCAGAATCTACATTT